GTAGTGTTGCAGCTTCATCGAGTCGTAGTGTAGCTGCAAGATCTATCAGCAGTGTGAGTAGTAGTGGGCAGAGCTGTAGTGTAGTGCAGTCTATCAGGGCAGTGTAGATGTAGTCAGTCTATGCGAGTAGTGTAGTGTAGTGCAGTTATCGGGGCAGTGTAGTGTAGTAAGTCATCACAGGTAAGTGTAGTGCAGTCTTCGGGCAGTGTAGAGCAAGTGCTTATGTAGTCGGCAGTTTATCGGACAGTGTAGGTAGTGGAGCGTCCATCGCAGTGTAGTGTAAGTGGCAGTTTATCGCAGTAGTGTAGTGCAGTCTTAATCGCAGTGTAGTTAGTGTTAATAGTAGCGCCGAGTCTATTGCAGTGTAGTGTAGGTGCGTCTATCGGCAGTGTAGTGTAGCTGCAGTCCTAATCGCAGATGTATGTACGTGGCAGTCTATCGCAGTGTAGAGTAGTGTTATGTAGCGCAGTGTAATGTAGTGGTGCAGCTCTATTCGGCAAGTGTAGGTAGTGAGCAGTCTATCAGCAGTGTAGTGTAGTGACAGGTCTATCGCAGTGCTGTGTGTGGCAGTCTATCGCAGTGTCGTGTAGTGCAGTCTGAATGCTGCAGTGTAGTTAGAGATGCAGTCTATCGCAGTGATATTTATGGGCAGTCTTCCAGATGTAGATGTAGTGCAGTCTATCGAACTGTTTAAGTGTAAGTGGCAGTCCTATTGCAGTGTAGGTGATTGGTGCAGTCTATTGCAGTGTATGTTTGTGCAGTCACTATGCAGTGTAAGTGGTAGTGTGCAGTCTATCGCAGAGTAGTGTAGTGCAGTCTAATTCAGTGTAGTGTAGTGGCAGTCTATCGCAGGTGTAGTGGAGTGCAGTCTATCATAAAGTGTAGAGTAGTGTTATGTAGCGCAGTGTAGCTGTAAAAGGCTGCGACTCCCATGTGGCCACTGCCGTCATGGCAGTGAGGCTTATCAGCCTCACTCTCTCTTCGCTGTCTCGCAGGCTCGCTCCGTTGATAGTCTCGACTCGATCTGATGCGGTTCCGCTCGGTGGTCGTCTGGAGCCGGGACCGCGCTGGTAGAGGGAGAAACATATTTCTCACGAGGTCGCGCCCGCACTGCTCGGGGCGGGGGTTATGATCGAGTGGGAGGAGGTGGCGCGTAGGAGTGACACAACCGCTTAGAGGGAAAACTGGTGGCAGAGGCGGCCCTGCTGCGTGTCGAGACGTTGCTATTCTCCCCCCACTCTCTCTCTCTCTCCTAATGCTCTCCCTCTTTTTCTCTCTCCTGTTCCCCTAACATCCTCAGTTTTACTTGCTCTGATGTGTATATATATATATGTATATAATATTATATATATATATATATATATATATATACGCGTGGGTAATTGTCGCCAATTAGATGAGGTGATTACCGGAAATTCGCGCGCGCACGTATGTCTCACGGGACGAATGAAATAATGTCGTAAGCACTTATCAGGGAGGGAACGCTCCAAGGGGACGCGCGCGCGACGGGATCTCTACGATCTCTGCACGCTCTCGCCACGCATGCAGTAATACGACGTTCTGATCTAGTTGCCGTCTCCGTAATCCGGATCCGGCCTCCATCCAGCGCAATCCCTAATCCGGATCTGTACACCGCGATCCGGATCCGGTTTCCGTCGCAAATTCGGATCCGGCTTTAAAGTACGTTCTAACACGGATCCGGTTCCGCACGTTCTAACACAGATCCGGTTCCCGTCGCAAATTCGGATCCGGGACCGGCTTTAAAGTACGTTCTAACACAGATCCAGTGCCGTACGTTTTAACACGGATCCGGTTCCGTACGTTCTAACGCGGATCTGGTTTCAACGAACGTTCTAATACGGATCCGATTCCGTACGTTCTAACACGGATCCGATTCCGTACATTCGAACACGGATCCGGACCGGTACGTTCTAACACGGATCCGGTTTCTTAATTACGTTCTAACACGGATCCGGACCCGTACGTTCTAACACGGATCCGATTCCGTACGTTCTAATACGGATCCGGGTTCAGTCACAAATGCCCGATACGCCGCCGCGCAAACGCGCACGCCGCAACGCCGACGCTGTTAGCGTCGGTCAGTAAACCGGTCGACGCGGGCGACAGGTGCTGTCGTCGTACGCCGCCGACGCTCATGCAGATACGGCCGATTATTGACGCCGAGATGCTTCCTCTTCCTTTTCAGATCTTCGTAATCCTGTCGGCTAATCATCGCACCGTCGCCAGCGGGCTTACCTGAGAGAGACGCACACACACGCGCGCAAACACACACACACACACACACACTGCGCGCGCGCCGCGCGCGCGCCGCGCGCACACACACAACACCACACACACACACACACAACACAGCACACCTGGCGCGTTGCGCACACCGCAATATCACACACACACACACACCATCACACACGCAAACACACGCCAAACACACATCGCGCGCGCGCGCAAACAGCACACACACACACGGCGCCCAGAACACACACCTCACCACACACCACACACACACACACACACAACACATACAGCACACACACCACGCACACCACGCACACACACACACACACAATGCACATCACACCGCACACACACACACACACACACACACACCACAACACAAACACCTACACACACACACACACATTCTGACACACACTAACACACACACACACACAACACACATACACCACACATGACACTGAGCAGCAGCAGCAGCACCCGCGGTCCCCGGCTTCCATTGATGTCCCCGGTCTGCTTTCTCTGCCGCCTTCGCCCCGCCTCACCGGCGCGGCCATCATCCACAGCAATATCGACACGTTTACGGAATCACAGCCCGCTGATCGTGACGCGCGCGCGCGCATACGGGGATAATTCGGATTTCGTATTCGCGGTGCGTCAGCGTGAAAACACACGCGAGTCATGCGTATACATAATCATTCGGCATATTGGAATCCGGATCGTAGCGCGATATTAGCCAATATCACGGCCGGACGAGGCGGCTGAAGCGAAGCGAGAGATCGACGCCCTGTGAATGCTGCGCCATTATTGTCGACGTATATCTTCCGGACCGATCAATTCGAATCTCCCCGCTTTTCGACCAATAAGCCGCTGCCAGCTCCCAGGGCCAAAGCGACGAGATGCACGAGAAGAGAGAGTGCAGAGAGACGGGCACGAGAGGTAGAGAACGAGGAAACAGCGGATAGAAAGAGAGATGAGCAGATAGAAGAGCCAGAAAGAGATAGATAGAGTTGGAGTATGACCGATATATATATAGATATTATATATTATATATATATATATATATAGAGAGGAGAGAGGGAGAGAGGAGAGAGGAATAGCAGAGATGAGAGAGAGAGCAGAGAGACGCGCGCGCGCGCGCCGGAGAGACGAGAAAACAGAGAGGAAGCAGAGAGAGGGCAGAGCGGAGGTGGGGGCGCAGCAGAGACCAGAAGGGGGAAGAAGGCGAGAGAACGAGAGAAGCATCTCTTTGTCCGCATGTCGCATCCTGGCATGGTATAACGCAGGGACAGCTTGCCACAGCTTCTCCCAAGTTCTGCAGAGCTTCCCATCTTACACGGAAACGTCTCCGGACTGCAGGCCGTGCAAGCATCACGCGCGGTAATGCCTGGAGCCAGCCGAAGAAGGAAGAAAGTACGCGCGCAGCGATTAATAGAGAGACAAAAGGATATATGAGAGCGAAAGAGAGAGAGAGAAGAGAAAGAGAGAGAGAGACGGAGAAGCGAGAGAGAGTTACGTGAGTGAGTGAGGTGAGAATGAGCACAAGCGCAACGCGAAGAGAGAGAGAGAGAGAGAGCAGAGACAGGAGGACGCCGAAACGAGACGGAGGGTTGGAGAGAGGATAGAGAGAGAGATGGAGAGAGGGAGAATTGAGAGGAGAGAGAGAATGAGAAAGGAAGAGACGAGCGCGTGACGGGAGACGCCGATGAGAGAGATAGAGATGCGAGAGGGAGAGAGAGAGAGAGACGGCAGAGATGAGACGAGAGAGGACCCGAGGCGAGGAGAATGGCCGCGGACGAGCAGATAAAGAAGATGAGAGGAGAGAGAGAGAGAAAGAGAGAGAAAGAGGAGACCGACCTGAGAGAGAGAAAGAGAGAAAAAAGAGAGAGAGAGAGAGAGAAAGAGAGAGAAAGAGAGAGAGGAAGAGAGAGAGCGAAAAGAGAGAGAGAGAGAGAGCGAGAGAAGAGAGAGAGAGAAAAAGAGAGGAGAAAGAATGAATGAAATGAATGGCAGGCGCCGCATTTCTGATTTGGGCCGCGAATCGCAGTTTTTTTACGGATCGCGGGACGGAGAATAAATAAATCACTGCGTTTTTTCAACGTGCGCTATTTGATAAGCACCACACAACAGAAAGAATAAATTCGGCTGTTTGCTTTGCGAAACCACGGTGTGCTTTTAGCGTAATGAATTACTTGAAGTTTACATTGAGATTACGGCTTGTTTGTTGCCGTAGCATACCGCTATTCCTCTCGATGTACGGGTGCACACCGTCGTTACGATACACATTCATTAAATGGTTTATCTGGCTGCTATCACGACGGTGAATCTGAATATTTATGGCCATCCAAGCTTCCTCCCACTCACACACACACACACACACACACAACTACACACACATACGCCACACACCATCACACACACACCACAACACGTGAAGCGAGCGACCACACACACACGACACACGACACACACACAGCACACACTACGCACACCCACACACCATATACCACACACGACACACCATCACACACACACACACACCACACACCAGCACACACCACACATACCGGCGCCACACACACACGCACACAACGCAGCCGCACACGACACACACACACACATACGCGCACACACACACACGTACAACACACACACACACCCACCCCACACACATGCATCCTAGTCCACGATCCCGTTCTTTCTCACAGGAACAAGCCCACGAGTTGTCAGCTATGAGTTAACCTTATCTGGCGCCCCCTCGCCCCCTGCTCCCGGGCCACCCGTCTCCGGAACCTCTCCCCGGACGCGAAATTATTTTTCTACAGCGAGTTCCCGATACACCATAGATATGTTTGTACGATGTGTTTGTATATATATGCGTGTGAGTCCGGTTTAATGTGAATTGTTAAGTTTAGTTGGTGTAGGCGTATAGTAAGGTGCCATTTGTTTCATTTTTAGCTCATCTGACATAGTCCAGATGCAGCTTGTTTAGAATCGCATGATCGTCCGCTGCGTCCGTGCGTTCGTACCGCCTGCGTCCGTCAACAGTTGGGCCCCACAAATCATTAACCGCTCGAGGACGTACGGTCACGATAGTCGGGACGTGGCGGTAATCCGAAAAACGACTTGATATGTCAGAAAGCGGGGGTCAAAGGTCAAACGGTACCAAGAGCGTGTACAAGACAGGGGGAACATTACACTCCTCTAACTTAAGGTACTAGGGAGGAATGCACAGAATTGCGCGACACAATCTAAACGGCTCGACCTAGGCTCTGTGATAGTCCGTGCTATAGCATTCATGGATAGAAAAGCCATCACTTTGCCGAATGGGAGGTCACAGGTCAAAGGTCAATGGGCCACAGGGTGTATGTGAAACACATTTGGACTAACAGCCGGTTACTAGAAATCCCACACTCCCCACAGATCACCGCCAGTAGACGTAGAGATGGCGCTGTCGCTCTTGTGGCCACTGTTCTTGTTGCTTCGAGCATCTCTATGCTTTGAGAAGTTCCCAGCCAGTGAATGGAGTACGCCTGATGGCTGCTATCTCCGGAACTCGCGCTGGAGAAGAGAAAATTGTGCTCCCCGGACAACACTCATAATATCATCATTCACCACCAAACGATTGATTAACCACTATATACACAATCTCACGACGCGGACGCCCGAGAGGCAGTGAAACGCTACCCAACTATACACGCTTCCCATTTACACTTGATGTAATGAACAGA